AGTGTGGAGTCAAAGTCCAAATCGTGGGGAGAAAAATATTGATTTTCAGTATATAACAACTACATAAAACAAAGCAAAGGGAGATGGCTATAAAAAGGGGCGGGGGGAAGGAAAGAAATTTAAAGGTTGTGGTAAAATAAGAGCCAATTTTTGTATATTTACCACACTGATATCAGTTTTTTGTATTGCTCTAATAAAATTAAAAAAGGTGTTTAATGCACAGAGCCAAAGAGAGAAAAAGCCATACGGTTATTATATGTATTTATCATAATCATATACCCAGAGTAAGTGCAGGTCGGCCCCTTTCACAGAAGTTATTATGTCAGCAGGTGTGATTTCGTGTCAATGGTCTTTCTACCTTTTAGGCCACTTCACACTTTCCACTGTGTTATTGTGAATGAATGAATGAACGAACAAAGACGTGACTGACTCACCTGTTGGTGCTTTCTTTGGGCAGGATGTAAGAGAGCTCAGCCCCCGCACTGCTCTCCAGCGTGGCATTAGGAACATACATGTGGACGAGACGGGTGATCTCGGACACGTTACAAAGAGCATCCTTCACTATCACCATGTGGTAGCCAGCACCTGGTGAGCAGAAGAAAGGAGGCCTGTATAATTAATTGTAACAATTCATGTAGTTGAATTACTGGAGTTTCAATTCTCCTGAATGTCCAGGTCTGGATTATAAAGCAAGAAAAGCATGACTGTCTTTTAAAAAGCTGACTACATATTTGGCAACTGAGAGTTACATTTCACTGCAGCCACTTCCCACTCACCATATTTGCTCTTGAGGAAGAGCGGCGACCCGCTGCACTGCAGCTCTCCTCCCGCCATGATGGCGATGCGGTCACCGAGCAGGTCGGCCTCGTCCATAAAATGCGTGGTGAGCAGGATGGTGCGACCGCGCTTCTCCCCTTGCAGGAGGTCCCAGGTGGCACGCCGAGCTGATGGGTCCATACCCGATGTGGGCTCATCTAACATCACCACCTGGAGGAAGGACCAGGTTAGGGATGAAGAGATGAGACGTGGTTAATGCGGCGGAAGGATGGGACGAAAGTAATGAGTGAATAATGCTCATGACTTTCTTCACCTTGGAGTCTCCAATGAGGGCAATGCCAATAGAGAGTTTTCTCTTCATGCCACCAGAGAGGGTCTTGGAGCGAGCCTGTCGCTTGTCCTCGAGGTTCAGGATACGGATGGTCCGGTCCACCTCGTCTGGAATCTTGTCTTTGGAGAAGCCTTTCAGCTGGATATCAAGCAGATCAACACACAAATAATAAACATATAGTTGAAATAAAAAAATTAAAACTGGCCATTATAAACTTTGTAAAAGGTAGTATTTATGGCAGAGCTGGATAACATTAGATGGTACAGATGTACCCGATAAAATGGCCAGGGAGTGTATTCATGATATTAAAACAATGTGAACACCTCACAATACACTTTCACTTATGATTTAAAAACTAACAACTAATTAGCACCTGACAATAACAAAGATTCAGCTCAAGTATGTGTGTATGTGTGTTTTTGTGTATAAGTGCATGATCGTGCGGGTACCTGAGCGTAGAAGAGCAGGTGCTCTCTGACAGTAAGGTTATCAAACAGTACGTCATGCTGGGGACATAGTCCCAGACTGCGGCGGATCAGAGCCATGTCCTGACAGATGTCGTACCCGTTGATATAGGCTCTGCCACTGGTGGGAGGAAACAGCCCTGCAGGCAGGCAGGCAGGCAGGCAGGCAGGCAGGCACACACACACACACACACACACAGTTGAGTTCAGAATGTTTCCGAGGCATTTATGTTTGATTGTGTGTGTGTACACTAGCTGGTCACCTGTCAGCATGGACAGTGTCGTGGTCTTCCCAGCACCGTTGTGTCCTAGCAGCACCGTGATCTGACCCTCAAACATGTTCACCGTGAGATCCCGCACAGCCTGCCGTGTCTTGTTGCCCACTTTGAATTCCTGTCGATGGGATAAACCCAAAACATTTACATGCATTACCTGAGGAAAAAAGGTACGGCGGCAGAGTAACCTTGTTGACCCGTTGGGTGTCTGTCTTGCTGCTCACCTTAGCGAGGTGTTTAATCTTGATCCCGGAGACAAGTCCAGCTGGCTCCTCCTCTATAAACTCCCCTTTCAGAGCCTTTTCTGCATCCTCCTCTTCCTCTTTCTCATTCACCAAAGCCATTCGGGGACTGCTGCACCAGTATGAAGGCTGATGGAGATGAGGCAGATGTGGGGATTGAGAGAAAGTGGGGGATAGATAGAGGTAGGAAGTGGAGTGGGTTAAAACTGGAAGCTGAATAAAAGAGTGCTTTGCAATCCCAGTGTTCATTTCCCAACACGTTGTACAGCATGAAAGTCAAAAATGGCATCATATATTGCACACGCTGTACGTGTGTATTCCTCATGATTTTTCAGTGAAGCAGAGTAATTACAGGATGCAACACGGGAAGCAGAGGAACAAGATCATTCATAAAGACACAAGAAAGAGAGATTGGGCCGGCATTAACATTGTTCATGTACACTCCTCGTTAGAGGAGGTTGTTTCCTCTGGTGCACTTCCTAAAGACCAGAGTCAAACCTCCACTTTCTAAATCTCTCACACACACACACACACACACACACACACACACACACACACACAAAGTGCGTCAACATGGTATCCACACCCTGCTGGCAGTCTCTTGAATTCCTGATTACTGGGAAAAAGGTGTGTGTGTGTGTGTGTGTGTGTGTGTGTGTGTGTGCGTGCCATTTTGTGATGGTCCATAGTTGTTAAAATCACAAACCGTATTTGTGTTGGCTCGACAGACTCAGACGCTTCCTGTTATTGTAGCCAGCTGAACCCAAAGACTTCCTCAGGCCGATATGTTGTGACCCCCCTGCCCCCGTCACTATATCAGAGCACTTTCACTGAGTGCAGCAATTTATTTAATCTAAGGCAATTTTCCTCTTACAGGAGACCTTGACCTGCTGATGCTGTAAGTGCTGAACACCACCCACTTGCAGTATTCGTCGACATATTAATGTGTCTTTAACTTTAAATCACAATGTAAAAGCCGGTTCATTTCCTGGAAGTGAAAGTTCATGCTTGTTTGTGCATTTCAACATATGTCACTGGCCGTGTCCTTTTTGCTGCACTAGTAGTACTAAGTGTCGTGTTTTTTATTGAGGTGAATGAGCAAGTATGTGTTAAATCGTCTGCCTCTTCTGAAACAAAGCTACTACCTGTATCTGTATCGTTGTCTATTGACCAAACCTTGTATGAACCCCACCAGACAGGGAATAGTTGCGCAAATATTCATACAAAACGCTTGCGCATTGAAGGATTTTTTAGATTAGGAAAAATAAACACCGTATTCAACATTTGATTACAAACTCTTTAAAATCCAAAAGGGAAAATATCTGATAGAATAATAAAACAAAATAAAATAGTTTCTAGACCAAACTGACAACGATATTTAAGAAAATGTATATTTCTAGTTCATACGAAATATCCAACCTCACAAGTTTAACACGATATCAAGTAATCAATAAATGTGGTTTGAAATGCTACAAGCGTCACGACACAAAATCTATTGAACTTTGACATTATGTTTTACTGTGAACTATAACAGTGTTAGGGAAAGATGATTACAAGAACCAACCTGATGACTAGGCGATATTTTGTTTTTACATAACTTCCCCATTTTTTTAGGGGCTCGTGTCTTTTATGTTTGAAATACTAACCGACACTGCAGTTTAGAATAAAAGGCACTGTGAGCAGAAAACAACGTTATCAGATAACTTAAATTATCTGATAACGTTGTTTTCTGCTCACACTGCAGTTTAGAATAAAAGGCACTGTGAGCAGAAAACAACGTTATCAGATAACTTAAATTATCTGAAACGTCGCTTCTGAATGCGTCCTCTGTTCATACTTTCATCCCACTAACGCAGCTGTATTTGGTTGCATCCACAGTGAATGCGAGTGAGCATGTGTGAGCCACCTGGCTTTGAAACATACCAGTACGAAGAAGTAAGACGGTAGAGGGACTCCGTACTCTCCAGGAAAAACGGCCTCCGTGTACCAGGCCACCAGCCCGTAGAGCACAGAGTCAAACAGCAGCAAGCACAACACCTGGGCCATGGAGAAGTCATCATCCACCGTCACAGAGTCAAACAAGTTCGACCACTGGATTCCAACTCCTACAGAGGGGAGGGGGATGAGATAAACATTTTCTTTTTAAATGCGAAAATTAGAAATTTACAAAATTCACTTTAAATACAACCTCAAGTCTCACCTTTGCCTTCAAACATTCCTATGAGCTGAGCTCCCATGGCCATGGCCACGTTGGAGATGAGGCAGGCTGACACCTTCTGGGCATGACTCAGCAAGTCGTAGCGTGGCCACAGGAACAGATAAGGCAGGTAGCTCAGGAAATAGATGAAGCCGCCCGCTGCTGCCGCCACATTGGCTGAAGTTAGAAAGAGAAGAAAGAAAGAGATGCTGAACAACAACAACAGACCTTAAAATAGGGAATTGAACAGCTCTCACCACTCTCTTTCTGTTGCCACAGATACATAAGAACATTGCTGTTGCCGCTAGACAAGCTCAAACACACACACACACACACACACACACATGCATTTGTGGACCTAAGCCAGCGCAAACAGGTAAATTACTATTTGAAGAACCTTTGGTGCAAAACCCATTTCCCTGATTGACGGAGCAAGTCTGTGAGTGCTGTTCAAAGGAAGCATTAGGGAGGATAGATGAGAGACGGTGGACAAACGGGGAAAGAAACTGTGGATGAGGTGAATTAAAAGACTTCCAGCGCTGTTCTTCCTTCCATTTCGGGGCAGCATGACAAGACTTCTCAAAAGAGCATTTCTCATAAAAAGTACATCAGTGAGTGGGGAGAAGTACCCAATCAGCTGTTCACACAAAGGACAACCAAGAGAGGAAAAATCTGTTTTTGTTCAGAAACAGCCAAAGAGGGCACTCAAGGATCCTTTCTGTTAGTTTGGTCTATTTTCAGAAAAGACACTCATCGCTGCCTCTTTCCTATTCTATCTACAAATCATTATGTGTATGTAAAACCCTTTAACCTGGTTGGGGTTCATTTGCTATGCAATGATCTCGGCGTGTTGGCCTTTTTATACATATGTACAGAGCCAGAGGAAAAACAACATGATGATGCAGTTTATTTAGCTCACGTTATCTGTAAAGTTCAGCACTAATTGACTCAATTTTATTGACTTAAGTCAGACTGTCAAATACCACAGTTTGGGCAATTATTCATGGGACCACAGACAGGCTAAGCTGACGGAAGACAGAGCAAGCAGGAAGAAGGAATGAGGAACCGGACAAGATTTAAAAATGTCACCGAAGATACCTTATCTCACCTCTGGGCAGGTGACGGAGCACGTTGCATTACTCAGAGGACAGAACTACTTCAACTCAGCCCCTGTGGACAAAAGCCTTTAAGGCTTAATCATGACTACTACAACTACTCTGCAAGGGGCTGCATTAAAAACTGAGGCTGTGCCGAGCGCTCGCAACATGAGCTGCTTTGTTGCGAAAAATTGGAGGGAGACACTTTTCATTCACATGCTGGTCTGAATGAGTAAGACCGCGAAGACGGAAAGAGAAGGGAACAAGAGAAAGGAGAGACGGGATTTAAATAGTGTTCTTAAGCGGCTGAAGACGGACAGCACTCAGAACTAATTAAAACAAAAAAAGTCCTACTTTTTAAAGTGAACAAAGCATTTCTCATCACCAAGAAAATGAACAATACAACACCAACAGCATAAACAGATTCTATGTGGCAGTAATTACATGACCTAAATGTTTACCCTCTCACAGCTGATCTATACAGACTGTACAAGTGTCTTTGAGCAGATCTTTGCTTATTTTTTTTATAGCTGATGTGCCTTTTATTGCTGTACTTTGAACTCGCTAAGAGGAGGGCGCAGAGCAAACAGCAGACACTTTGACCTACATCTGAGAGCCTACGCAGTGTTACACACACACTGTGCATTTCAGCTAAATGGAGCCAGAGAGTGTCCTGTTAAGAGCACCTGACCTCACATACAGCACAGGACACAAAGAGGCAAGAGACTGACAGTCAAAGAGTAACATCATTATTATTATTATGTAATGTTAATTCAGACACACACACACACACACACACACACACACACACAAACACACAAACACCTCGGGAGAAGAAGGCACTGATCATGAAGCTGAAGTTGATGGTGGCCACAGTGAAGACGAGCAGGAAGACAAAGACCAGCGTGGGGTCACTGTAGGACAGAACTGCTCCATAAGGGCTCACCTAAAGAAACAGAAAGAAATGAACCCAATCGTGCAGTTGGTCAAAATTGAATTATTATGAATTACATTTTTCACTCTCTTTTCCTCTTGGTTTCACTTAGTTCCAACTCACACTGTATGAAGTGTTGCTTTGAGAGCTACAGCTAAGCTACATAGTTGTACTGCTTAAACTATTACGTGCTGGAATGTAACAATGCTTTGTAACACTAACTCACCTGGACACAAAGGAGCAGGGTGACAAAAAAGATCGAAATGGAGAGGAAGAGGAAGAACATGAGAAACCAGGCACTCCAGTGGAGCCAGTTGCTGAGGCCCATCATCCTCATGTACTCCTGAAACGCATGAAAAGAAAACAGTTGAAAATAAGGAACAGTTCCATCACTAATTTCAACACCCAGAAACAAAAAGTCCCTTGTAGAAACACAAACCTTGAGCTTCCTTTCCTTCTCCTGCACCACAGATCGTACTATGTTGAGGGAGGTGTAGGTAAAGCTGAGCACCAGTAGCAAGGGCAGCTGGTTCTGAATGGCCAGGATGAAGACGTCATATATAAAGGCAGGGTAAGGAAACCGTGACAGGACCACTCTGATTTGTGGCAGCAGAGAGGCGGCGGCCGTTCTGTTGTAAGAGCGCATGATGGCTCGGTCCACTGCATGCTGTACAGCCAGGAAACCCTCTCGATAATAACCTTAAAAAGAGAAATATGAACGCTGTGGAAAATATGTTGTGGCACAACCCCACTTGCAAAGAGACCTGTTCCACGAGGCAAAGTCCTTCTAACTTCCCTCTAAAAGTTAACATGAAAATGGGTGAGAGGCCTTGAGGAACCAAAGTCGTGAGTTGTTATGCATGTGGAGGTTGGAAATCCATATTTATGCGACTCTAAAAGCTTGTCAGTTCTATTATGCTGAGAGGATGACTTCATCTTTTAGAGCATCCCTCTTTAAAACTTTATTATTAAAAGGGTTAGAGCCACAGCAGAACAGTGTCATCCCCAACTTATCATCATCATCATCATCATCATCATCATCATCATCATCATCGTGTTCCCGTCAGTTACGCTTAACAAATCAGACATCCTGACAGACAAATGGGAAGATAAAAGTTGAGGATATTTGGTGCTCGACACCTCACTAATGCCTCACAAATGATGCGAGGGTACAATCCTAGCAGCACCAAAATTTAGACGCGCGGGGGCCGGGGTTGCCATGGAAACACAGCCTGCGGCGAGGGCTCCAGAGATTGTGGAAAATAAGTGCTTTTCATAAGCCATGGTCTCTGTTTTATCAGAAATATAAAAACCTGTTTTGACTTAATACTGTGGCTGCTTAAAGGGCTAATCAGGATACCTCCCATAAGAAAGGTGAAGGTTGTTTCTTTTGCGATGAAAGACCCTCTCATGATGGTTCAGTAGCATCAAAGCAGACATGATTGTTTTTGGGGGATTAAAGGTGAAGTGGGAGAGAAAGATAACGAGAAACTAAGTGACGAGGGTGTAATAGCAAGAGGCCGTGCGTTCTCACCAGGCGTGCCCCCCTCCTTGTCATACTGCTCCCTCGGGCCTGGCAGCTGAAAGAGGGGAAAGAGGCTGAGCGTGTGCCAGTCGAGGTCATTGTTTGGGTTCAGCTCCAACCTCTCCCGGGGTGGGGCTCTGCGTGGGGTGAAGCTGAAACGCAGGTGGTAGCTCACCTGTATACGAGAGTGCAAAAAGAAAGAGGGGAGAGGACATCTTTATCAACTTGGCTTCAAGTAGTGCCT